CAGTTTCCGGTTCATTGCGTATCCTACCATCATATTTTGTATACTACATGATTAAGGCATTGTAAATATATTTTACCGATCAGTTTCGGTTCATTGCGTATCCTACCATCATATTTGTATCCTACATGATTAAGGCATTGTAAATATATTTTACCGCTCAGTTACCGGTTCATTGCGTATCCTACCATTATATTTGTATACTACATGATTAAGGCATTGTAAATATATTTTACCGATCAGTTTCCGGTTCATTGCGTATCCTACCATCATATTTGTATCCTACATGATTAAGGCATTGTAAATATATTTTACCGATCAGTTTCCGGTTCATTGCGTATCCTACCATTATATTTGTATACTACATGATTAAGGCATTGTAAATATATTTTACCGATCAGTTTCCGGTTCATTGCGTATCCTACCATCATATTTGTATCCTACATGATTAAGGCATTGTAAATATATTTTACCGATCAGTTTCCGGTTCATTGCGTATCCTACCATTATATTTGTATACTACATGATTAAGGCATTGTAAATATATTTTACCGATCAGTTTCCGATTCATTGCGTATCCTACCATCATATTTGTATCCTACATGATTAAGGCATTGTAAATATATTTTACCGCTCAGTTACCGGTTCATTGCGTATCCTACCATTATATTTGTATACTACATGATTAAGGCATTGTAAATATATTTTACCGATCAGTTTCCGGTTCATTGCGTATCCTACCATCATATTTGTATCCTACATGATTAAGGCATTGTAAATATATTTTACCGATCAGTTTCCGGTTCATTGCGTATCCTACCATTATATTTGTATACTACATGATTAAGGCATTGTAAATATATTTTACCGATCAGTTTCCGGTTCATTGCGTATCCTACCATCATATTTGTATCCTACATGATTAAGGCATTGTAAATATATTTTACTGATCAGTTTCCGGTTCATTGCGTATCCTACCATCATATTTGTATCCTACATGATTAAGGCATTGTAAATATATTTTACCGATCAGTTTCCGGTTCATTGCGTATCCTACCATCATATTTGTATCCTACATGATTAAGGCATTGTAAATATATTTTACCGATCAGTTTCCGGTTCATTGCGTAACCTACCATCATATTTGTATCCTACATGATTAAGGCATTGTAAATATATTTTACCGATCAGTTTCCGGTTCATTGCGTATCCTACCATCATATTTGTATCCTACATGATTAAGGCATTGTAAATATATTTTACCGATCAGTTTCCGGTTCATTGCGTATCCTACCATCATATTTGTATACTACATGATTAAGGCATTGTAAATATATTTTACCGATCAGTTTCCGGTTCATTGCGTATCCTACCATCATATTTGTATCCTACATGATTAAGGCATTGTAAATATATTTTACCGATCAGTTTCCGGTTCATTGCGTATCCTACAATCATATTTGTATCCTACATGATTAAGGCATTGTAAATATATTTTACCGATCAGTTTCCGGTTCATTGCGTATCCTACCATCATATTTGTATACTACATGATTAAGGCATTGTAAATATATTTTTTCGATCAGTTTCCGGTTCATTGCGTATCCTACCATCATATTTGTGTATCCTACATGATTAAGGCATTTTAAATATATTTTACCGATCAGTTTCCGGTTCATTGCGTATCCTACCATCATATTTGTATCCTACATGATTAAGGCATTGTAAATATATTTTACCGATCAGTTTCCGGTTCACTGTGTATCCTATCATCATATTTGTATCCTACATGATTAAGGCATTGTAAATATATTTTACTGATCATTTTCTGGTTCATTGCGTATCCTACCATCATATTTGTATCCTACATGATTAAGGCATTGTAAATATATTTTACCGATCAGTTTCCGGTTCATTGCGTATCCTACCATCATATTTGTATTCTACATGATTAAGGCATTGTAAATATATTTTTACCGATCAGTTTCCGGTTCATTGCGTATCCTACCATCATATTTGTATCCTACATGATTAAGGCATTGTAAATATATTTTACCGATCAGTTTCCGGTTCATTGCGTATCCTACCATCATATTTGTATACTACATGATTAAGGCATTGTAAATATATTTTTCCGATCAGTTTCCGGTTCATTGCGTATCCTACCATCATATTTGTATCCTACATGATTAAGGCATTTTAAATATATTTTACCGATCAGTTTCCGGTTCATTGCGTATCCTACCATCATATTTGTATCCTACATGATTAAGGCATTGTAAATATATTTTACCGATCAGTTTCCGGTTCACTGTATCCTATCATCATATTTGTATCCTACATGATTAAGGCATTGTAAATATATTTTACTGATCATTTTCTGGTTCATTGCGTATCCTACCATCATATTTGTATCCTACATGATTAAGGCATTGTAAATATATTTTACCGATCAGTTTCCGGTTCATTGCGTATCCTACCATCATATTTGTATTCTACATGATTAAGGCATTGTAAATATATTTTACCGATCAGTTTCCGGTTCATTGCGTATCCTACCATCATATTTGTATCCTACATGATTAAGGCATTGTAAATATATTTTACCGATCAGTTTCCGGTTCACTGTGTATCCTATCATCATATTTGTATCCTACATGATTAAGGCATTGTAAATATATTTTACTGATCATTTTCTGGTTCATTGCGTATCCTACCATCATATTTGTATCCTACATGATTAAGGCATTGTAAATATATTTTACCGATCAGTTTCCTGTTCATTGCGTATCCTACCATCATATTTGTATTCTACATGATTAAGGCATTGTAAATATATTTTACCGATCAGTTTCCGGTTCATTGCGTATCCTACCATCATATTTGTATCCTACATGATTAAGGCATTGTAAATATATTTTACCGATCAGTTTCCGGTTCATTGCGTATCCTACCATCATATTTGTATACTACATGATTAAGGCATTGTAAATATATTTTACCGATCAGTTTCCGGTTCATTGCGTATCCTACCATCATATTTGTATCCTACATGATTAAGGCATTGTAAATATATTTTACCGATCAGTTTCCGGTTCATTGCGTATCCTACCATCATATTTGTATCCTACATGATTAAGGCATTGTAAATATATTTTACCGATCAGTTTCCGGTTCATTGCGTATCCTACCATCATATTTGTATCCTACATGATTAAGGCATTGTAAATATATTTTACCGATCAGTTTCCGGTTCATTGCGTATCCTACCATCATATTTGTATACTACATGATTAAGGCATTGTAAATATATTTTACCGATCAGTTTCCGGTTCATTGCGTATCCTACCATCATATTTGTATCCTACATGATTAAGGCATTGTAAATATATTTTACCGATCAGTTTCCGGTTCATTGCGTATCCTACCATCATATTTGTATCCTACATGATTAAGGCATTGTAAATATATTTTACCGATCAGTTTCCGGTTCATTGCGTATCCTACCATCATATTTGTATCCTACATGATTAAGGCATTGTAAATATATTTTACCGATCAGTTTCCGGTTCATTGCGTATCCTACCATCATATTTGTATACTACATGATTAAGGCATTGTAAATATATTTTACCGATCAGTTTCCGGTTCATTGCGTATCCTACCATCATATTTGTATCCTACATGATTAAGGCATTGTAAATATATTTTTACCGATCAGTTTCCGGTTCATTGCGTATCCTACCATCATATTTGTATCCTACATGATTAAGGCATTGTAAATATATTTTACCGATCAGTTTCCGGTTCATTGTGTATCCTACCATCATATTTGTATCCTACATGATTAAGGCATTGTAAATATATTTTACCGATCAGTTTCCGGTTCATTGTGTATCCTACCATCATATTTGTATCCTACATGATTAAGGCATTGTAAATATATTTTACCGATCAGTTTCCGGTTCATTGTGTATCCTATCATCATATTTGTATCCTACATGATTAAGGCATTGTAAATATATTTTACCGCTCAGTTTCTGGTTCATTGTGTATCTTCCGACCACGTTACTATCCTACATTATTAGGATATTTTCCCGACTTTTTTTCTCGATATTTTAAATGACATTCAGAATCTTTTTATCTAAAAGATTCAAATATCTTGTTTTATGATTTTGTTAGCCAAATTTCTTATTTTATAATTTTTTTCTTTTAAATTTTGTAATCCAACAAAAAATGGCGTCCCTCCTCCCGTTTTTGATTTTCTCCTTACGTTATATAATGTAGGATACAAATGTGATGGTAGGATCCATCGATCGGTAAGACCCTTTAAATATACCCAGGGATCGGTAAATATTGACTGCTTATATTTTATTCAGTTAGCTTTTAATGGTTTGGGAATTGGTAAATATTAGACGTTTATATTTGAGTCGATAAGCCTTTATTTAATTCAGGGATAGGCAAATATAAGACGTTTATATTTGAGTTTGTAAACATTTGCTTTGTTCGGGAATTGGTGAATATTGATTGTTTATATCTGAGTCGATAAGCATTTACTTGATTCAGAGATAGGTAAATATTAGACGTTTATATCTGACTCTATAAGCATTTGCTTGGTCCGGGAATTGGTAAATATGATGCTCTCGATATGCCTGAAAGAGAATGGAAAATGTAAAAAAATTGGCGCATGCTGTGTAACATTATGTTAGGTCGTTCTATATTGATAGCTCTTGTTCTCAAATACCTGACGCACATTGTACAGAAACTGTTAACTTGACGGCGAAGAAGCGCCTACGTCTTTGTTTTTTGTTTTTTTTTGTTTTTTGTTTTTTTTTGTTTTTTGTTTTTTTTTTTGCTTTCTTTCACGTAACGATGAAAGGAAACTTTTGACTTGTTTGCAAAAGCTGCGGTAATTATGTCGTATTTATCCGTTTAAAAAGGAAAGAGATTTTTGTTTTTCAAGAAGTTATTTTGAGTAAACCGATGGCGATATGGAACAGAACGTTATAACAACAAATATCAATGGGAAAATTATTTTGAATTGAAGACTGGGCGAGACAAAGAAAGAAAGAAAATGAAAGAAGGTAAAGAGAGAAAGACAGAAAAAAAGAGGAAAAACAAAGAATGACAAAAGGTTGCCGATAAAGAAAAAGTTAGATATCAAGTAAAAGAAAGGAAGAGGGAAAGGGACAAAGAGGCATAAATAAAATGAAAAGGAGAAAGAAAGAAAGAAAGAAAGAAAGAAAGAAAGAAAAGGAGAAAGAAAGAAAGAAAGAAAGAAAGAAAGAAACATGAAATGACATAGATATACAGATAAAGAAAAAATAGATATAAACAAAGAAAGAAAGAAACAAGAAAGAGTTCGAAAGAAAGACTGATGAAAAAAAGAAAGAAAGTAAAAGAGAAAGAAAGATCAAGTGATCAGAAAAAAAATAAATAAAGAAAAACTGAATGAAGAAAGAAAGACAAATATAAACACTAAAGGAAATAAATAAATGAACGAAAGAAAGAAAGAGAAAAGAAGGAAGCAAGAAAGAAAAGGGAAGAGAAAGTAATGAAGAAATGAGAAAGAGAAACGAAAAAACAAAGATGAAGGGATAGAGACCATGACAAAAAAGTTAGCTAAACGAAGAAATAAATTACGAAAAAGAAAAAAAAAACAGAAAGGAAACTAAGAATGAAGGAAAGGAAGAAGTTTAACAAAAGAAGAAGGAGAAAAGAACAAGGGGATCAAGAAGAAGACCATTGAGAAGAAGGAGTAAAAGAAGAAGAAAAAGAAGAATACCAAGAGAGGAAAGAAGAAGATAAAGAAAATAATAAGATAATAATAAGATCAAGAAAAAGAAAAAGAAGAGCAGGAGGAAAGAAGAAAAAGAAGAAGTAGAAGACGAGCAAGAAGAAGGGAAAAAAGAAGAGAGCAAGTGAAAAAGAAAAACAACATGATCAAGAAGAAGAAAAAAGAAAAAGATGAAGAAGAGCGGAGAAAAAAAGAAGAATAAAAAGAAGAGAAAGAAGAAGAAAACAAAGAAAAGGAAGAAGAAGAAGAAGAAAAAGAAGAAGTAGAGCAAGAGAGAAAAGAAGAAAAAGAAGAGAGCCAAAGAGGAAAGAAGAAAAAGAAGATCAAGAAGAAGAAAAATGACTAATAAGAGCAAGAAAAAAAGAAAAAGAAGAAGTAGAGCAAGAAGAAAAAGAAGAGAGCCAGAAAGGAAAGAAGAAGAAAGAGAAAGAAGAAGAGCAAGAAGAAGAGCAAGAAGAAGAGCGAGAAGCAGAGCATGGAGAAGAAGGTGAAGAAAAAGAAGAGCAAGAATAATAAAACAGAGCAAGAAGAAGAAGAAGAAGAAGAAGAAGGAGGAGGAGGAGGAGAAGAAGAAGAAGAAGAAGAAGAAGGAGGAGGAGGAGGAGGAGGAGAAGAAGAAGAAGAAGAAGAAGGAGGAGGAGGAGAGAAAGAAGAAGAAGGAGGAGGAGGAGAAGAAGAAGAAGAAGAAGAAGAATGAAATAATGAATGAAATGGAGTAACAGTAAATTACAACTAAAATGGATAAAATATTATTGCGCAAATGACGATGGCAAAGGCATGATGTAAGTGGGAAAGATACGAGAAAAAGAAAAAAATGAGAAAAAAGAAAGAAAGAAAGAAAGAAAGAAAGAAAGAAAAAGATATAGTGAAAAACCTGGGAAGATAATATACGGTAGAAATGTAGATGATGGATTTTGAAGTGAAACATTAAACGAAAAATAAAATTTCCTTTCTGAATTGATGAGGAATTGTTTAAAACCAACCATCAATGAAAACATGGCAAACACCATCTTTTGTTTGGTTTTTAACTTTTCACGTCAATTATTTTCATTATGCCTCATATTTTCACTTAGCATTGTTGTAATTGTTGTTGCCTTTAACATAACACTTCGCCCGATACAATCTTCGGCCTTTCTGGCATTGTCTTAAATTCACAAATAAAGTAATTTCTTTATTCTATTCACTGTTGCCTTTATTTTGTTCTAATGCAACTTTTCGTCTCATACAAAGCAGGAAATTAGCTCGAAAACAGATGGTCAACATTTATGTGTGCAAAAGCTAAGAACGCGTTCTTTCATGAAAAATACAGACTGAACTCGGAAAAAGTGGTACACACACACACACACACACACACACACACACACACACACACACACACACACACACACACGTGTATATATATACACACAGAGTGTTCGGGCTAAATTTTTTAAAGTTGAATATTTTTATTTTTTCAAATTGGTTCCGAACCCCTCCAAAGAGTGAACGGTATTGTGGAACTTAATATCTACAGTTTTATAGGTCCAAACTTAACTGGCATGGACGAATGGAATTTACCAGAATATTTGGAAAAAGGTAACCTGTATCATGAGGATTTGTGCTGGGCATCAAAATGCGGCAATCATGACAGCTGCTCAATGCTTTTTGAACACCGTGAAAACGATAAGACGTAACATGGAAAATTGCAACGGACCCTACGAGACCCTTGCTTGTAGCAGACGTTCTGATTGCCTCCGTACACCAAAATTCATGCAACAACTTCAAGATAAATTGATGGCTGACCAAGGCAAGAGAATGCGCATTTTGAAATGGGTGTTGCAATTTCCACCATGAAGCTGACCTTGAGTAAGAAGTTTCGCTATCAGTCATAAAGTATAAAGGTTAACTTCTTTCAGAAAAGGCTAAAGAAAACCGTGTAGTGCGCGGTTAGGAAAGACACCAACCGCACTTACTGATTGACAGTATTAAGGAGGCATTTGAGGCTCTCACTATCGATGCCGTGAAGGCCGCTAGTTCCAGTTTCCGGAGTCGGATCGAGACCATGGTAGATGCTGAGGGTGGCTTCTTTGAGTGAATTATATTATTATAACCTGCATGCCACTTTTCGATTTTCCAAATAAACTGATTTTGGTTTGGATATTCACTTTGTTATACTTAAAAAGTACTGTCAAATTTATCCCGAACACCCTGTAAATTATATATATATATATATAATTATGAAAGCGGAGACTTTAGAAACCCCTGGTAATATTTTTTATTTCGCAAAACCGATTGTTCGGTTTCGTCTCATCAGACCAAACAGTTTCAACAATATATATATATATATATATATATATATATATATATATATATATATATATATATATATATAATAATAATAATAATAATAATAATAAATTATAATAATAATAAAATATAATATAAAAGGCTCAAATACTAATATTCCATGGTTATAATTTATTACATTGGAATCGTAATCACAATCCAATTCATCAGAACTACAAACTCAAAAAGAAATCGGAAAATATAATTCCGGGTATACAAAAAACAAAATTTTACTAAGAGTGTATGTGTGGGAGTTGGAAACAAGTGTGAGAGGGAAATATGTAGATAGATCGATACGTTGCATAGCTGTTTAGATGAGTGTGTGTATGTATATGTATGGATGTGTGTAAGGTTTTATATGGATATGTTTATATGCACATATGTGTATGTCTATGCGTATATATGTGTATGTGTATATGCATGCATGAGTGTATGTGTATTGAGATATGTATGTGCACACGTATATGTATGTATGTGCGAGTAGATATAGATATGTTGTTGTGTATGGGTGTATCTACGTATGTGTTTTTGGTCATATAACTAGTAGGTTCTTATTAGATTAAATATTAGTTAGATTTTTTATATGTTTATGTTAAATTTGTAACCTGAAGGTGATATTACTTGCTTTGTCAAATTTTCTTGATTACACATCGGTTCTCTTATAAATGCCCTTCTTTTTTTTAGTTGCCTCCCCCATCATTTCTTTTTCCCCCCCTCTCTCATCTTCTGGATTTTAAGTTTAGATTATATCGTTTTTTATTGTGCGTAGTGTCGCCACAAATGTATACACACGTTTTCGGTGTCTGTTTTTAATTTTAATTTAGGTCAGCGATTCGGTAGCGAATTATGCATCGAAAAATAATTCATATTTATCTGTATCTCACTCATTTAAACCGTTATTTAACTTCTCTCTTTAAAACTTCCCTCTGTTAAATTTTAATCCCCACCTTTACCTTTAGACCTTCCTGTTCTTCTTTCTTCTGTTACCCCTCTCTCTAGAGCTTTCATAAATTTCCCTCTCACACTTGTTTCCCACTCTCACTAAATTTTTTTTTTATACCCGGAGTTATATCTTCCTGGAAAAGATAATGGAGTTGATATGCTTCTCCTAAACTGGTTGCCAACCAAGTCTAGAGAAGATTGTTTATTTTGATATTTGAACCACAGCTGACAGGAGACGATCTGGATTCATAATTTTGTTCCTTTCTTCGCCACCTGACAATAGCTTAAGCTACCGTTTACAAAAATTCATGCAACCCACAATGTTATAATCTTGAAATGGAAGATATTATGAGCATTTCCACAACTCTGCCAAAATATCTTAATGCCCTCGGAAAAAAAAGTATGAATCCAGATCTTCTCCTGTCAGCTATGGACCAAATATCAAAATGTGCGAGAAATTTTCAGAGAAAATATGCGTCCTCCGACAGGAATCGAACCTGCATCCTATACGGAACCGTCAAATAGCCGGAAGGTCGATTTCTTGTTTTTAAACTACAATTCTCAATGATTAAAAACGGTAAAATTGACCTGTCTAACAGAAACGCTCCTCTGTGGAGAAATCGATAAAAGCACGTCAGGCGATATGACGGTTCCGTATAGGATACGCGTTCGATTCCTGTCGGAGGACGCATATTTTCTATGACAATTTCTCGCATATTCAAGCCGGTAAATGTTGTTAATACTGTTTATTATAAACAGGGCATTTACTTAAATATTTTTATCTATAAAAAGAATGTATAAACATAAAAACATTCTTTATATATATATATATATATATATATACAGAAGCTTAATGATTGTTTTTTCTCGAATATGAAGATAATCTAAATTTATATAAGATATACATAAAATCAAGGACGCACATTGACAGTTTGAAGGGATAAGGGCTAGGATGAGATGATACAGACAAAGAGTCTCAAAAAATCATACTCATGAGAATCAGTTTATGTGGATACAAAGGTTAATATCGGGAGATTATGAAATGGAGTCCATCAGAATGCTAAACTAATCCCTGTTTCAGATTTCTGCTTCAGTGCATCTGCGCATCTTCTGCAGAGCCAACTGGTTGCTTATTCTGCAACTATGCTGAGCGGATCCTTGGGTACAGTTTCTTGCGGAGAGCGCATCATTAGGTGTTATCTTGAGTTTGAACAAGGCCAGTAAGCTCGCCTACGATGACGTGTGAGTTCGTGCTAGAGAAGCATCAACAGCTTGTGCATAGTTTCATCAATCCAATTCCACTGACAAAGGCTTGGGTCAACCCGTGAGATGGTTTTCAAACAGTTTCCAGCAGCGTCGCCCGCCTAGGGCGTATCCCCAGGAAGATATTGTCACTTGCTTCGCAAATCGATCATGGTGAAGTTCGAATCCGGGTCTCCCAGTCCACTTTATGATACCAAAATTGATTTTGTAAACAAGTGTATTTGCTTTTGAGAACTGGTGAATTATAGCAATCACGAGTGATTAGGTCAACTTTCCTTTGACTGATTTGGTATTGGGCAGTTTTACTCGAGGACCTAGCTTTGAAATGGATCCGAAGTATTCAGGCAAACCCAGTGGAATTCTTACAATAAAACAATGTTTTCAGATTCCGTGCTCTGTTTACGATAATAATTTTACTAAGAGGCGACGCGCACTTTCTTTTACAGTGATGTTCACTCTTTACAAGGCCCGGGAGCTACTCTAGGTAGAGTGCTACAGAGAAAGAGGGGGATATATGGGAAGGATAACTGTTAATTCCAGACTTAAACAGGTTAAGATTGTGGTGATCGGGAAAACACCCACTTGTGAGTCGATTCCGATTCAGAGCAGCGGTTCGCGGGAAGAAGTTGGAATTCTTCTTCAAGTGGTTGGAATGGCCAACTGAACCGTGCCACGATTAATAGGTGTCAGTTATCAGTTAACTCCTTTTAATTCCCCTCTCCAAGTTCTCCACAGCCTAACCCGGGTATTGAACTCACAATCTATGGGTCCTGTCACTGGATCTAACCAACGCCTTTATCCAATGTGTCATGTGTCGTTGTAATAAATATGGCGACAAAGATGAGGACAATAGTCCGAATAATGTAAATAGTGTACATAATACCTCATGTCAGAAATATAGACAGATACTGAAAGGCCGAAACGTTGTAATAAATATGGCGACAAAGATGAGGAAAAATAGTTTGAATAAGGTAAATAGTGTACATAATACGTCATCTAAGAAATATAGACAGATACTGAAAGGCCGAAACATTGTAATAAATATGGCGACAAAGATGAGGACAACAGTCTGAATAATGTAAATAGTGTACATAATACCTCATCTCAGAAATACAGAAGATACTGAAAGGCCGAAACGTAATAAATATGGCGACAAAGATGAGGACAATAATCCGAATAATGTAAATAATGTACATAATACCTCATCTCAGAAATATAGACAGATACTGAAAGGCCGAAACGTTGTAATAAATATGGCGACAAAGATGAGAACAATAGTCCGAATAATGTAAATAGTGTACATAATACCTCATCTCAGAAATATAGACAGATACTGAAGGGTCGAAACGTTGTAAAAAATTTGGCGACAAAGATGAGAACAATAGTCCAAATAATGTA